TAATATTTTATGCTAAAACAAATAACTTTTTTCTTTAGCAAATAAGCGCAAAAATTATTTATCGGATGCAATTTTGTTAAAGGAAAAAAGTTGTTCTTTGTGCTAATACAAACAACTCTTTCCTATAGTAAAATTATTCGATAAATAATTTTTGCGTTTACTCGTATAACTTCAACCTGCTCTCCTGCAAAAATTATTTGACACAATTTTGCAAAAGGAAAAAGTTGTTTCTTTTAGCATATTATGTCCTGTATTTCAAATTCGGATCACTCTATATATATAAAATATAATTTTACCAATAGATATTAATCTAGTAGATAGAACATAAACATTCTACATTTTATTAGCAATATTAATGTTACGTCGATAATCATTTCTTCGTGTAAACAAATGGAATTATCAAGATATACGATAAAATATTTTAATGTTGCTGTTTTGCGTCGAAAAACTATATCGCGAATAGCATTGTATTTGCAATTCTCTTAAAAAAATAATACTACACATTTTTTTTTAAAGAATTGCAAAATGTCGACATAGTCTTTCGAAACAAAAAAGTGCTTCTTTCTATTGTACATCTCAATAATTCCACTTGTTTGCACGTAATAATTGTCAACGTTAATATTACTAATGTCAAAATGTGGAATTATGTTGTATAGAATTTATGTTATACAATATTAATAAAATTGCCTTCGTAGTAACTAATAAGATAAGCAAAGTAAAAGATTATGACTTTCCAAAAGAAATTCCAAAATATAAAAAAAACGTAAAAAAATATCGAATGCATTCTGTGATAATCAATCGAAAAAATTGTTTCAGTACCAATTTAATTAATGCAGAACGCTAAATATAATGATATTAATAAATTACTTGTTTCATTCATAGAATTATTCTCTGATTAAAATTTATATAATTTTCTTTTATCTACTGTGTTACTCAACATTTTACAAAATATAAATGTAATAAATGAATATAAATGAATTTATAAAAAGATTATTCATTAACATCATTTTATAGTAACATTAACCATGGATTATTTTTTTTTTCTACGAATTCATTTAATTAAATAAATATGTAATCATTGATATTATGCATATTTGTATGTTTTTCATTATAGAAATTCAATTGCATATACACGATCAATTTTTTATTTGTTTCCTTTTAAGCTGATATTCATACTTGAATCTTTATTTAATTTAAAACTTTATTTAATTTTAAGTACAGTCTTAAGATGTCATGAACTAATCAGACAGCATCTTAAGACATTACTTAATATGATCAGAATTTGTAAATTATAATATTTCTTCATATAATTCTTCTTTATATAACTCTTTGCAATAAATACAATAACTTAATAACTGCTTGTAAACCTATATCTATTATTAGAAATAATTGGCTAAATTGCACATTAATTCTTATACGTGTGAAATGGTAATAAATAAATCCGAGGTTAGTCGAGCGGCCAAGTAAATTGCTACGCTATTGATCCGAAATACGGAGGTAATAACCCTAAAGAGTGAAAAGAGCGTGTGGACTATAATAAATCGGTATAATTGGACGGTTCTAATTGGCTCGCAATTCAAGGTAATCTACGGTATTTTTGCATAGCCCTACCGATGTTCTTACTCGCAGTTAAATCTTCCGAGAAGAACTTCAATAAAACTTGTAATCGCCCAATTTATCACAAACAAATTTATTAATTTACATAATATTATTTATATTTTATTCATCATATGTATTAAAAAGTATTTGGCAAAAAATATAATATCCTAATAGTATTTTTGTTTAAGAAAAATAAATTATAATTTTTATCTATTTATTAGATATGTATAAATTTTTATCAATTTAAGTCAATATTATCAAAATTAAAATAAATCTTTAACGTTATTAAAATAAATTGGCAGAAAACCAACATATTTATTCCATTCGAATAATTATTAATATAATATAATATGATGTTATACTGATACCGAAAAGTCGTCGATTGCTCGCATCAATTATACATATAATTAGTGACTATATATAATTGTATAGTATATTTTATCATATTAGTTTTATTGTATAATCTTTTTCTCTCTCTCTCTTCTCTTTTTCCTCTTTTGAAAATCGTATCGAAATTATTATATTTGATTTAAAGAACTTAAGTACGGTCCGCGTGATTTTTCCTAATTGCGCTAGTAACAATAATATATCCACGAGGAAGCTGTTGCAGTTAATAGTCATATCCATTATATCGCATAAATAGAAAATAATTCAACGAAATTACTTTCTTTTACGTAATATCTGAAGGTAAATTCCTAGAATTCTTATAAAGCACATCGTAAAAAGTGTGGTTAAATTAATCATTAAAGTAACTTTATTATTTACAGCAAAGTTATAAATTTAACTTTCATCAAAAGAAGAACGTCTGTAACAAACTGCATGTTACGCGATAGAACAAAGAAACTTATGTTATCGGCAAAATCAAAAATCCGTCATTCACAAAATAACACAGATATTTATCCATTTAATCTCTTTTCGCTCTATGTACAAATATAAATATAAACGTGAATGTGACAACTCGCGTTTAATAATTAATTATTAAAAAAAAGAGAAAATAAAATAAAAAAAATAAATAAAATAATAAATAACAACAAAGAACAGAATTAAAGATATTAGAAAATCTGTTCTTATTATTCGTTATGAACTATATAATTAATTCGAGAAAATAAAAGAAAAAAATTTAATAAAGAAAAATATAATATAAACGCTGCACAAGTTCATTATCTTATACAGTAAAATATATTGATGATATTTTTCATCTCATTATGTCGATTTCTCATTTTCTGCCTCATTTATGTCATCATGAAGTAACTTTGAAATTCTAGAGAAGATCCGGAGGATATATACGATGGTGTCATAATATTATACACTGTACAGCACACTGTTCGCAGTACAGTAACGATTACGCATTACAACTGACTCTGCATTTCCTCGATCGTGTACATACAGGATCGCTTATACATCACTACCAGCGCAGCGTAAAAGTGCATCGACTTTCGCGTGGACTACTTCTGCCGGCCACCTCACGTGAACGCGATTTTCCCGCGAGACTTTTTGTTCCTCATCTAGGATATAAACGCGAAGGAAATTGCACCGTCACGACTCGGTTTCCCGTAACGTTAGCCACTTTGCCATATAATGTTGCACTTGGGGAGAATAGCGCGGTTTAAAATTACATCGCGATGGGCGCGATGATATGCAGATTAATATGTACGTTTCCGCAACCTCCCGTCGAGTCGCGAAACAACGAGAAAGATCGCTTAAACTTATTCAAAAGGTTTAATTAAAAGGTGCCACTCCGTATGCGCACCTGACAGAAATTATGGCACAAGCAAATTAAAAGAATATGTATGTATTCTTACAACAAATTTTGTTTGTAACAAATTTCTTTCAAAGTACAATTACTTTCAAAGATCGATAAAGAAAGGGAAAGCATGTTATTACATTATAATCATGTTCAAATTTCAATGTGTGAAACGGCTATTTTACTAATCGAATTATAAGATTCGGCGGTGCAATAAATCATCATCTATCCATAATCTAATGTTCATCTTATCTTTTACACAATCATATATATTAATAATATATATTAATTCAAGTGATAATTAATAATGTTTTAAAAACACGTAAACAATCGATAACGATAATATTATACAATCTTCCCTTTTTTCTCGGAGATATCAGTGAATCACCATTGAGAATAGATAATAAAAATATTATATTACACAGCTATAATGGTCTTCCCCTTTTTCCCAACATCAGTGTTCATTAATATCGAGGATAGATAATGAAACGATAAAATAAACAATTGCAACACATTACAAAATGCAGCAAAAAATTAAAATTTGAAAAAGTTAAGCCATTTAGTTTGCCCTATATTACTGAAAATCTTATTGGCATTGATCTTTAATCACTTTAACTGATTTGATATTTTAGCTTTGTAAAACTATAAAGTTTGTAGTGTATCTATTACAAAAATGGAATTTGAAAAAATTAAGCTCTTTTCGACAAAGTTTGCAGACAGACGAATGGACACTATGAAATACAATATACAATAGAAATTAAGAAATTTGCTATATTAGATTGTTAATCTTACACACATATTACTTAGATTCCACTAATATGTGTGTAAGAATAACAATCTCGGATCAATTTACTCTTTATCTTTTCTAATTCTGAGAATTAGGAAAAGGTAAACAGTAAATTAAACCGAAATTAAAGTTAATTTTGTGTAATGGAATTGGACCTTAGTACACGTACGTAAATAAAAATACGAGATTAGATTGAAATCAATAAATTCTCTTAATAATTGATCTGATTTGTTTGATATCAATATTATATCAATATTATTATCAATATTCCATATAAATATTAGCAATATTATCAGTTTAATAATATATTGTGAAGTATTTTTACTCCAATTAAACGATGCCAGTATCCATACTGCCAGTATCCGTTGCCGACATCAGAATCCACACACGACAATTAATAAGACGTAAGTAATTAAATATTATAAATAATTAAATGTTTTGTATTTATATTTTTCATTACATTAAATATATTAATTCAGTCAATTTATTATTTGATCCACTACGAATATTTGATAAACTTTAATAATATAAAATCACTTGCAATGCTTATATTGTAAAAAAATTACATGTAAAATTATAATAATTATAGCAGATAATTTTAAAATCTACACAGAGAAATATAATTTTACTGTTGTAGCAAACCTATAATTACTACTGTATATTCGTAATGGTAGCGATAAAATTTAATTGATACAATCAGTTTTAAAAATTATTTGTTATTAGAGAATCTGTTTTGTTGCTAAGCTAGAAAAATTTTGCTGTGTGTATTTGTCTTTAGAACCAAAGTTAATTTGCTGTTAAAGCAAAATAATGTGTTCTTAGCGAATTTTTTTACTATTGGAATAAAATTATTATTATTCATTCAAATCCATTACGACAGCAAAAGAAATTTGTTATTGTAATCGATTGTGTTATTACAGCAAAACTTGATTTGTTAAGATGCGCCTTGTACTCAGTGTATTCTTAAATGACTCTCGTCTCCTTTCTGGAGTCTTTTGTTATTATAACGTCGTTGTATTCATAAACGTATTATTGCGAATTACTTCTCAATATTTTATCGCATTTATTTTCATTTTTCCTTCATTATATACTTCTGTTACTTTATTCACGTCAACGTGTATTCATAATGATACGAAATCTGTAGGACAATTGAGGAATGCCTGACGAAATTATTTCAAAATTAATACATCTTTTTAATACATCTCTCGATTAGCAACAAACATGATTGAGAGATGTACTAAACAAATCTATTAACTTTTATAATACAATTGGTGTTCCATACAATTTGGTGTTCCATACAAACTGGATCACTAGAATCCATTCGTTTTTTTTATTCAGAATAGTTAAAAAAATCTCTAAAAATTCATTAACATACTTTCAACTTTCTAGAATAAATTTGAAACTTCATTTTGGAAAATAATAAAATATGTTTAATTTATATAATCGAAAGACTCTTGCACGGACAGAAATCGTTCGGTCACTAGTGACTCGACCTTGTGCGGTAAGAGTTAATTTTAATAAAAAAAAATCAGTGCTTGCTAATTTTTCAAAAGCTTTGCTTTTGTAGCAAATTGTATTAATAATGTAACAAAAAAGATTAGTTGATTAAATAAAATTTCATTTATTCTTACAGCAAAATAATTTATAGTTTTAGCTAAATTATATCCAGCAAATAGCAATCAGTACTTTTAATAAATCTCTTTGCTGTCCACATAGTAACTAATAAATTTTACTATAATATAGTAGCATAAAATTACTTTACTCTGCCAGCAAATTATTTTTCTCCGTGCAAAAACTGTAAAATATTTTATTATTGTATAACTTTCTGCCTGATATTGATATATACAATTCAATATATATTTATAATTAGAGATAAAAATATCCATTTTTATAAAATCGTACTAGTTTAGATATTTTCAATATAAACAATACATATTTAAATTATATAATTTTTATACATATTATTAATATAACATACAATTTACATACTTTTTTTACAATGCAACGACATTATATGCAATATATTCTTTCGTAAATGCTTCTCTGAAAAATAATAAAACCCGTAAAAAGGTTATCGAAATAATATAAAGTTAAAAGTTATTCATAATTTAAAAAGCAGATCTCTTATTAGAAATAATAAAAAAAAAACATTTAATTCAAGATTTAATGATACATACAAATTTTGATGCAAACTGGAAAAAGATGCTTTGCATCCGCTTGGGAATAAAACTTTGTTGTAAGATATAAGTTCTCAAGTTAGGATTGTCATATCATGATAATTTCGTTTTAAATGCAATAACGTAAAAATAATGTTTCTTTTCAACCAACGTAACGTGACAAATAGCTGGAAGGTGAGGGCTGTTCTAATTATCTTACCTCACCACGGGACAGTTAGGACAAATGATCAAAATTATATATAAAACGACTGTAGATATATCTAATGTATACTGTCGCTCAAAGATTCTTGTTACATGACGTCAATATGAACGGTTCCACATGATTAACTGTAAAAATTGTTATTATGACCCGAAGGTTTGTATTTCAATATGTAGTCAACCGGATAGTTTCACGGTCCAAATAATTCAAAACGAACATGTTGTTTATAGTGCCGAATTATTATTAATCAGGTACAACCCACACATCAGAATTTTCTCTTCCCCGAAATGAACTTAGTGAATGTTGTCTTCGACCTTCACAAAATTCAGAAAATAATAATTAATCCAGTAGGAATCGATTCAAATGTTAAATTAAGTAAGAACTACACGCAAAATCATCAATTTAAATTTCTGCAAATATTAATTATTCCAAAAATTTGATCTTTTTATTTTTATTTATTTTTTATTGATATTATCAGATAAACTGTATTATAACCTTAATACTGAATATTATATTAATAAGCAACTATTTATTTAATTATGATAAAGATTGAAATTTCCAATAGAAAAATTAATAACAAAGTAGAAATTAATTCTGTCGACATATATGTAAATTTCTGATTAAATTGATTAAAAACAATAATTAGAAATTCAGAAAGCTAATGAGAGTCTAACGCTGATGTAAGAGCGAAGAGTTAGGAAATGCAGATAATACTCAAGTGACGATTATTTTTATTTATTCGAATGTTTCAGTTCACTTTGGAGTCATCTTCAGCGAAAAAATAGAAATATGATACATTGTTAAAAGTAAGTCACAGATTGACAGAAATGCAATAATCAATACAGAAAAAAAAGAAATTCACAAACATTGATTTACAATTTTCATAAGATACAAATTAAAACAAGTCGTTCCTCAAATTAATATCAATTCATCTTGTTTGTTGTTGACATGTTGTTTGAAATTGAATGTTATAAAGTGATAAGGAAACGACAACTTGATTCCCTTATCTGCGGTTATTAAGATACCTGCCTATTCTAACTTTATATATCTGAATCTTCTAACTTTTTGTACTTACATCAACGTTAGACTCTCAGCCTTGTTCTGAATTTTTAATTATTGTTTTTAAGATTAAGAGTCCTTATTTATATATTTTTGTAATTGTTGAATTGTTTGAATTGATCAAATTATAATTAATTTAATATACATTTAATATACATCAATCAATTTATTACTCTACTGTTATTTACCCTGCAATATCCAGGTCAGTAATTACATACACACACACACACACACACACACACACACACACACACACACACACACACACACACACACACACACACACACACACGCACGCACGCACGCACAAAAGATTATATTTTTTTAGATATATGTCTATCTGAACATCCGGTGACCCAACAGTATTTTTCATCTGAAAAACTTTCTTAACTAATAGTATCATTTTAAAAAATTGATATGCTCCAAATAAGTTGGCGCTCTATAATTGTTTAAATAACAACAAATAGGAAGAAAAAGAACGCAATTATTCGTTTTGTAAAATAATTATAATTCACTCATCCAATAATTATTATCTTCGCCTTTCCATCGTTACAGAAACTAAGCAAGAGAATTATACAGTCCAATCAAAAATTGTCGTTTATTTTTAATAATGAATACAAGAGATAGGTAAGACACTTTTGAAACTTTTTATTAAATTTTATTACGGTAATAAAATACTAAGATATTTTTATAGAATAAGATCTATATGTTAGATTAAAAAAAAGAATTAAAATAAAGAAAAATTTATTCTAAAATTAAAAACGGCTAAAAATATATAAGATTTCAATTGTTGATCGATATATAAGCACTGAGACGTATGAATCTAATAAACAATATACAATATTTAGTAATAATTAGATTTCATAAAATCATATTCTTTTAGGCATTTTTAATTTATACAATAAATTTTTGTTTTTTACTAAACATATTTTCTTTTAGCACATCAAAGCCTGCAAAAGAGGCTATTATTCAATGTATTCAATCTCATGCGAAGAATCAGCTTCTTTATAAGGTAAGAACAATAAATGAAGAGCAACTTCAAAATATCAAATGTAGATATAATAAATATCATATTATTCGTCCTAATAATCTAAGAATTGACGTAATCTTATTAACTTTCTTATTTATAAATTATATTTCAATCCTAGTAATCTAAATTTTTATGTGCAGGTTTATAACATAAACATGCCCGTGGACTATCTTATCAAAAAAGCGAACGACTACATTAGGAAGAACGGAAAATCTATAATTGTCATTCCTGATTTAGAGATATTAGGAGGTTATTTTAAAATAAGTAATGGAATTTTAAGGTCAGCACTACTACAACATTATACGTATGATCGAGTCACAATTGAGAAAATGAATGTACAATTTTTTGTACAATATTTTTATTGAATTATCTATTTCAGCAAAATAATTAACTTTTCAGAGATTTGTCAAGTTTGAAAAGAATGGGAAATGCAACTATATTTACAGGACAGACAAAAAGTATAAGAGCTAACTTTGGATTTTCCAAACTTCAATTAAAGTGTAATTATGAGGTTAGATTTATAAATTACTAGATATTAAAATTACAAAATATTAGCATAAAAACATTCAACTTTTTTTTAATATTAATATTTAATGTACAGCTTATAATTGGCTCAATCATCTTTAAAGGCAACATATTCGCAACTATTAATAGATTAGGAATAGCGGCGAAACTAAATGTTGATAATGAAGAATACAACATGAGTTTGGAGAATTTCCAAATAAAACGTGGTCAAATCACTGTAAACATGACTGGTCTAATTAATGGTTTAATGAATATCATAACTAATCAATGGCCTTCATTAAATACTGAATTGTACAATGTGATCGAAGTTATAATCGGTAATTTTGTTAAAGAGCAAATTAAATTTTATTTGTAATTTATAATAATGAAGTTTTTCAATTATAATCACGCAAAATGAATTAACAATCTTTCAGTAATGATGCGATAAGTATAGGTTTTAAAAAATCCCATTATATAGTACATAAATTTAACATATATTACTTAATTGTACCGCTTTTTATTTGTTATAAATCATTGTTAGAATATTTATAAAATATCAACACTTCTTAAATAATGATTTTGAATTTTTATTGTAATATGTAGCAAAGTAATTATGTAATAAACCAAAAATATATCTAAAAATTCTATTATTCTCAAATATCATTTTGTACAGCAATATGCATATAATATATATAATACTTATCTGTATAATTTTTGAAAAATCTGTTTAAAAATGCGCATTTATTTTATATGTTAATTGAAGAAACTTGAATGGATTCAATTAGATTGTGCATCGTTATTTGTATCAGCAATTATTTCTGCCGGTTTGACAATAACAGCTTCGGAAATTGCAGCTTTTTGTACATTATCTGTACATTCGTGGGAAGAATTATTTTCATCTTGCTCTAAAATTTCTTTTGTTTCAATATCACTGTTAGAATTAATAACTACAGGATTATTATCTTGCATGATATCGTTATTAATGTTACTAGTACATTGTATTTCCATGGTAGTATTATCACTGTCACTATTATTTGTACTCATTGCACGCTTCAAAGCTAAATATTCCTCCACTGATCCTGTTGGAGCTGTTTCAAATGTAACAGTTGCATCCGTAGTCGATGGCTGTACAGATAAGTTTGGTGATTTATTCAGCTTAGATAATCTTTGACGTTCCCGCAAACGTTTCCGAATCTCAGACTGTATTTTCGATTCTTTTATTACATTTTGAACATCGTCAGTCTGATAATAACGTGAAGCCCAAGTTTCTGTTGAATCCGATTTTGACAAAATAGTTTTGGATACAAATTGCTCATTTTCTTGCTGAGAAGAGACAATTTTATCTTGACTTTTATCTTCATCACTATTGTCTATTTCCATGACTTCACAGTAATCATCCAAATCAATATCATCTATATCTGTTGATCTCTCTTCTTCAACTTTACTTTCTTCTGTTATTTTCTGTTTTATCTCATCTACTTCTTCAATGATAATTTCATTTTCATCAGAAGGATTTAATTTCGATTTAACACTTTTATCACTTGATTCCTCATTAATCTCAGTAACGTTAATTTGTGTTGACTCTGAAGAGTTTGTAATAATAGAAGCAAGTTGTAATTTTCCACGTGACTTTTTCTTCGACTTTTTCCGTCTCTCAGCAACATTATCTGCAGAAATTGATATTGATAATATATTGTTTTTTATATCTACATTTCTTTCGGGCATTATTACTTCACTTGTATTAATTAGATGTGTTTTAGTTAAAATATTTGTACTATGTATCTCTATTATTCCTTCATTTTCTTTTCTTTCCTTCAAATCTTGTGAATTGGTTTTGATAGAATTTTCACCTAAATTATTCACAGATTTTCCGGCATTTTGCAATTCTTTATTCACTTGTGTTTCTTCCCTATCACTATCACTAGACAATAACTCAACAACTGGAGCAGGGTTAGGAATTACTAAAACAACATCTTCATCTTCGCCTTTAATATTTTGTTGAGAACTAATAATTCTTTCTAATTGCTTGCGACAATTCTCTTTCGCTTTGTCATCTATGCTAATGTTATTTTCTATTGCTTGAGTATCATTTGTTTGTGATAAGTTAGAAGGAATTATGTCTTCCTCTTTTCGTATCAAAGCTCTTATTGCGCGAGCTCGCATTTCTAGTTCTAATAAATCTAACAAGCTGTCTCCTTCTTTTCCTTTATCCTTATCATCTTCCCTTTTAATTTTAACTTTTTCAATTTTATCATTACTTTCGCTTTTAATGTTAGATTTTATTTTAACATTAGGTTTATTTACATTACTTTTCTTATTAACTGGCGCTTTTCCTTTAATTTTTGTTTTATCTTTTTTTAATTTTCCTTTCGTACCATTCTCCTTTTTAGACGAATCATCATCGGTTAACCATTCCTCTGTATCGGAAATGATTTCTAAGGAAGGGCCTATTAAGAGGAAATTATAAATGAGCAGTTTATTTCATAAAACTTACATTCTATATTAAAAATATCTAGTATTTTTATTTATATACCTGAATCATCAGAATCTTCATTTGTGTCTGAGGACTCCAACATAGGTTTGCCATTTAATATAGATAATATTCGAGCTTTAGACATACCATTTAACTCACTTTCACACCATTCTTCAAGTTCACTTAAATCCATATGCTGTATAAGAATAATATATATATATACTATTTGTGTTTAAAAGAATATTTTCGTATAACTATTATTAGCTTAAATATTTCATAACTCACTTTAAGAACTTGTGGTAGCATGAGACGAATCTTTTCTGGCTTAACAGATTTAAAAAGTTGTCGAGCTAGTATTTTACGATCAGACAAATATTCTCTAATTGGTTTTAAATCTCTTGCATCAATCTCTTCTTCGTCTGACGATAACGACGAAGATGTGTAAGAAGATGCACTGCTGTATTCCTAACAATAAAATTATCTTTAAAATAATGTGCACTAAAAATCCTTTTGTAATATTTTCATAATTAAAAGCAAAATGTTCTATAAATATATAATTAATGATAAATACCTTATTGTTGCCTATGCTATTTTTATTTTTAGACATCTTTATATCATTTAAGAAATAATTGCTTTAATCTGAATAAATATCAATGAATATTGAAATAAATTACTTTAACTTGTAAAACAATTCCCTCTTCTAATATTTTTATCTGAAAAATATATAGATTAATAGATACTTCACACAATCCTGTTACATTATCTTACATTTTTTGTTAAAAAATAAATCTACATGTAAAAAAGAAACTAAAAAGGAAAATTACATGGAAAATTCTATAAAAAATACAATTAAAAGTAAATTTAATAAAAGATCGAATCAATAATAACCTAACCTATTTCTAGGTTATTCTTGTCGCTGTATAAAAACAAAACTAATAGAAATTTCACTTGTCACCATTTATAATTACATATAATACTTACTTTATTTATTAGATACAACGTAAATAGTATAGCTTATTTCTTGTAACAATTATAATTCGCATTACTAGCAATTCTTGTCCATTGTTTACAACGAATTGTGACAGATGTGACAGCGATTTAAACGGGATGCGCCATCATTTGGTGCATTCGACAACGACATCATCGCAATCCGATAAAGATTTACTAAGGGCATCGTATAGATGTCACTAAATGAACGTGCCAACGCTCTGTCACATTTCAATGCAACATAATACAATATAACCTGTACCGTTGACAACTATTTGTCAACAAAATGATATTAATTAAGTATAATTGCTGAATGCTCGCTCACAGTAAGTACTACCGTATTAAAGAAATTAAAATGTTTCATGATAAAATAGAGAAATTCTATTTTAAATGGATTTTTATAATGGAAGCATTTGTCTTTGACAGGCATTTGACAGATAATCAAGTTTCCAGTTAAAAATTAATCAGTTTTGAAAATTATCATATATCACATATCGTTATCTCAGTGCAGACACAAATATTTATGAAACTTTGATAATTATGCTGATTGAGTATTTATGATACTATTTGTCAAGTTTAGTACCAGTCACATATCTTTGCCTAGCACCTGTGTAACTCAAGGAACAAAAATGTTGAATCGCTTTAAGTCAGTATTAATGAATGCTGTAGGCGCAAGCGAGCTTGGCCTACAGTACCCTAATGATTCAGACAATGATATGATGACAGACTATATTAATTCTAATTATGTGGTAGAAGTTGAAAATAAACCTTATAGCCGTCCAAGTTTTCTAGGCTTGACAGCTGAGGAAACGCAGGTATTTCCGAATCCTTATATGAATTATATAACAAATTGATTTATGTATTTTTTAACTCTTATAATATGATTATAATGATATTTGTATTAAATGAATGATTGTTTATTTTTGTTTATTAATAGGTGAGTGCAGATCACAGAGTAAGACCTATAATAGTTCCAAGAGATCTTAGCCGTTTGCCGTGGTGTGCTGGCTATGCAGAATGTATAAACGCTGGAAAGAGTACTTGGAATGAGGATCAAGCTTCAGCAACACGTGGAGATTTGAAATTATTAGATGTTAATGTTACATTGCCTTATGTCATGTTTTCAATGTTTGATGGACATGCAGGATATCAAGTGGCTCTTACAGCAAGATTACATCTACACAGGATAATCCTTGTGTGTGCTATCTTTGAAAAAATTATTGTCAAAATAATTCATATGTACATTATGTAAGATATTCATATTAATATTTAAAAATAGGAAAGGTTACTGGCTATACCAGGCAACATGTTATTAAATGAAGATGAAAATGAACTGATAAAGGGTAGAGATCTAGTGACAGGTGCTATAGAATTAGCATATAGACAAATGGATCAAATGGTGGAGATGCAAGCTCAAAATGGTGGTGGTGGTTGTACCGCTATTACAATTTTATTTCTTAATGGAAGAATTTATGCGGCAGGAGCTGGTGATTCAAGGTATGTAATTTATATATGTATAATATAATATGTATATTATAATTTATGTATGTATACATATACTCAGCAAAACATCAACAGCAACAGTTAGTTATAATTCCCAATTGAATAATACAATTATTAAGTGTTATAATTATTAAAAAACGCTTGTGGAAAATTATAACTAACAGTATTCTTAGTTAGTGTTTCCTGAATAGTATATTGTGTGATAGATTAAATATTTATGTAATTGTTTCTAAATGATTACAGGGCCGTATTAGTTTTGGGAGAGGAACAACGTGCTCTTACTAGAGATCATACTCCAGATTCTGAATCAAATCGTGTTAGAGCTCTAGGTTTTTTAAGAAGTAATGAGTTGCTCAAAGGTCATTTTACTCCGTTGGAGTTTAGAAAAAGACCGTTGCAAAAGGAATTGGGATCTTTGGTTTTATATAGAGAACCTTTTATGACAGGTTGGGCATATAAAACTTTAACACATCCAGATTTAAAACTACCGCTCATTTCAGGTCATGGAAAAAGGGTACATTGTCATATATCTCAGCAATAATTTATAATTTTATATAAAAATGCTCTCTTGTTTATGATATAGATATATATAAATTAATTATTTATAACATACAGAGCAGAGTAATGGGAACGATAGGTGTGACTAGAGGCTTTGGAGATCATGGTTTGAAAGCAGCAAATACCGGTGTTAATATTAAACCATTCCTATCATCACAACCTGAAGTACAATCTTTGGATCTGGACAGTTGCGATCTCACCGAACGAGATTGTATTATTGTCGCCACGGACGGACTTTGGGATGTAGTATCAGATAAAACAGCGGCAGCAATACTTAGAAAGACTCTTGCACCTGATACTCCATCATTAGAATATAGGTATCATCGCAAAATATATACGCAAAAGTTAATTTAACTACAATAAACTATAATGTATCTATTGGTTTTCAGACTCACGATGGGTGCTCAAGAATTGGTGCAAGCAGCAAGAGGTCGATTAATCGGTAGAGTTTGGATGGGAAAACCGGAAAATCCTAATGATTCGGACGAAAAATCCTCACCTATAGCTTCGGTGGACGATATTAGTGTGTTAGTAGTACCTTTATATCCATACTTATGCGAGCATAAACAGTGGCTAAAAACAACACAGCAAGAACGAAAATATGCTGCGGATTCACTAGCAACAATGTGCTTCGATTATCCTATCTCTAACAGATCCACTGATAATCCCTCATAATGCATCATTACGGTAATCTGATCAAATGCTCTGCGAGCATTAATAACAATGTTATTATTCATATGCAGCTAACGAATTACATTTATTTGCATTATTATAATGATTTGTCGATATTCATGATGATTTTTATTTTACTGTAGAATAATTAGCGATATTCAAGTGCACAGTTGCCGTATATTCTCCTTGATTCGCAAAATATTAAATTATTGTATACTGCCACGTATATATGTTAACTACAAATAGCTATGTTCTTATTATTTAAGTAAACATTCCACTGTGACATTATTTTATACAACATGAAATATCTACAATATTCCGAATATATGTGATCATGTATAAGCACCTCATATATATAAGCATTAATTTCTAGATTGTTACTGTGTGATTGTTAATAAGTAACTAGTATAGACTGCATACAATGTAACATTGTGCGCATATAGACTGTACACAATGGATGCTTTTCAATTGTAAAATCACTAGGACACTTTCGTTGCATATAATAACACAAATTGTGTTCCAATTGCTGTAATCATCAACATAACACTACACATTCATACTCAATCCAAGAGTTAACTGTACAGTGGTGAATTTCACTCACACTGCTGGATTAGTATACATTAAAGATTGCTTTTTATAAAGTATTTAAGGTGGCATTATAATAAAAATAATCAACTTTGATAATTAAATAATGCATGTATGTTCTATTAAATAATGTGACATCATTATTGGACATTAAATTGTTCAAAATATTCATATACAGCTTTTACATTTAACTTTGCTAATTTCATATAAAACTTTTAGAATAGACTAATCTAGTTTAATATCAAATTCGCTATAAACTTGGATTGTCTAGTGACAATTGCATATATATTACTAATTACGGCAGCTATAAATGAGGTTGGAGGATGTTAGGTAGACAATATTTTGGCTTTTTTCATTCAACACAAGTCAAAAAAGCTACATTTAATCTAACTATCTGAAACCGTGCATAGTGTTACACATTCTGTCCAAGTGAATTATGCACAATGCTGTATTTTGTGCATTCCTGTGTATGTTTGTGTTAATTGTGATTAACAATTGAAAAGCAACCAATGTAATATTAAAAGATACCACAATATTTTTATATTGCTTTTGAGGCAAACATATGTTACCATTCAATATTTTGAACGTATTATAACATTTCATTTTTATAGCTTTAAGTTAAAAAAAAACATTAACTTTATGACTACGAACGTGTGTGCGCGCGCACACGCGTGATCTGTGTATGTGTGTGTGTGTGTGTATATATATATATATATATATAAATTAAAACTGAGACTGCTGCATTAAAAATGAATAAATTTTAAATAAATAGTTAATCAATTCTCTTTATTGTATTGATTTATTATTATATCGATATTATTTCCAATCATTAGGAATATTAGGAATGTTTTGCACGTTGTATATTAGAGAGTTAACAGATAAAATTGTAAGTATGATATGTGATGTGTGTAAAAAATTGTACATAAAAGAAGCATTGCTATCTTTTCGCAGTAACCATGATAATAATTAGATTTTATTATTAGATGAGAGAACATTATGTATTACACAATTGTAGCTATATTATATTAAATAAATATACGAATATCTCTATTATATGTTTATTTACTTTGACTTCAGTAATCTTGAAAGATACTTTACAAGACACATTTCATATGACGATGATTTAACTTTCTTATAACTTATTTTTTATGTATACCATTTTCCATTTTTTTGCACAAACAAATTATTTTCGCAAGTAATGTTGAAATTTGTATTCACTGAAACTGAACCATCTTTGAACTCCGGTGCTGCGTCGATTATTATCTGTGAAATGGCATTATTTCCGAGGACCTGTCACGATTAAAACATTCCGGTAATTGTAAGGATACTATTTCATTTGTGCGTTTTTGTCGTACGACAAATATGTACAGAACAAAGAATTTCTCCACTCCTAATCAATTAACTGGCTTGAAAAATTTTTTGTACGATAAAAACACACAAATAAAATATTACCTTAACCGGCACTCCCGATAAAAACTCACACTTGTTATAATAGCATTCTTAGCATTTTTTGTCTTAGCATTTTTGCTAGAACTAATGCGCATTCAGTACACTTTAAAACCGTTGTACACAAATCGACATAAATAAGATGTACGTTTAATAGAAATTTAGAAACGAATTAAATCGCAAAATATTCAATACATTTTATTGTGCTATTTGATAAAATATACATAAGGCACTTTATCAATTGAGATATTTCACTTTTACATTTTAATTAGAAGAATGTACAACAGCTTTAATGCGCGCACTAATTCTGTCAATGAAAAACTCTTTAATGAATAAAATTTGTAATAATAAGATACAGAGCGAGAATAATAAACACCGAATCGCGCTACGAAAACTTTCATACGTTGCGTCGCGCGTGATGCGATTGCGTGCATCTACGATGTCGTTATGATTCGAGACGACACAACGCGAGACAATCTAATGAAATAAAATGATTAAAGTTAACGACGAGAATTAAATACTTTTTATCTCGTTTTCTGGCTAATGCTGATGTATTATAATCGCACAAACTTCGAAAGTTAAAGTTCTAAATACATACTCGTAATATCATTTTTAAAAAACGCGAAAAAAATCACGAGTAATTACATCCAATTATTCCCATTAATTTATAGTTGAAAAAGTTAAGTTTAATAGAGACACATAATCACAATTTCAACTCTTAAAATATGCTCCTTTTAATACAGAGTATGTATTTCTCGAGAAAAGATAAAACCCTAAACACAATGCGAAGTGATAAAAATAGCAATACGATACAATAGAATGTTATAAAAATAAGTGATATATAATTTTTGTCTTGCACAATGCTGCAAAAGAAATAAAAAATGCCAACCAATTTGATTTCATATATAGATTGTAGAATATTCTTCCATTCGCTTCAAGATTATGGTTGTGATCAAAGTCTCGCTTCAAATGCTTTGAAGCATTTGATGGACCAATTAGAAGAAAGAATTTTATCTCTACAACATAAAAGTTGCAACAATGCTGCAACATTACAACAGTATTGCATGTTGCAGCAATATTGTAGCGTTATTGCAGCGATATTACTGGAAATTCTATGCTGTATGGATACAAACTGACCAATTAAAAAACGCTTCAAAGCGTTTGCAATATCGCGTTGACTATACCTTATAGCACATATAAACAGAATGAAAAATCTGGACGCTGATTGATAGGCTATAAGGCGATAGACACAGAATTCCAACTCATCGGAAATTTATCGCTATATCCTTATTTCGTGTTCCTAAATATGTGCATTGATATATGCATTCTCGTATGGATTTCTCTGTTCTTATCGTTATCGCTATTACCATCGCTATTTCTATCGTTATTGCTATTGCCTCGCATTGTTTAGAGCTTTAGACTCACATTTATAACCACGAGTATCTGCAGAATTTTTTTAAAGGGGAGGACAATTTTGCCACACGTAAGAAAAAAATGTTCAAATATTTCCTTCCTTCTACCCGGTAAAAAATTTTTCATGAATATGTATAAACATACATAAACACGCATGAATATTCACAAACATGTATATATAAAATATATAATTATCATATATGTTCTTACATCCTTTTTTCTTTTGTAAAATTACTTTTTAGTGTAATAGAAATAATAATAGTAATGTGAAAGCATAAAAAATTAAAGGGATAATTTTCACATTGTTTGTTTTAGAAAAAAACAAATTTGGAAAAATGTAAAAATATTGCTCATACATATAATGCATAATTTTATATATAATTATACATAAATAATTTTTTTCTAAAACAAATAATGCAAAAATTACCTTTTTAATTATTTTTAATGTTTCCACGTTACTATTATTACATTAAAAAATAATTTTACAAAAGAAAAAAAGATGTATGAACATGTGTGGACATATTTCATATATAATTATTCATGTTTATGAATATTTATGCGTGTTTATGTATATTTATACATATTTACATAAAAAAATTTTTACCGAGTACAATCCCTACAGTGTCGATGATCTTTTTTTTCGTCACTTATTTATTTCTATAATGCTTATACCTTTTAAAAGCTTCTTCATCACGACAAGATAAAGACATACGTCGCAAAGAAAATATTTTGTTTTTTATTTTTTGCTGACTATTTGTGAATATTTACCAATTTATATTTATCATTTAGATAGATCCGAAAATTTTTAGATATTTAAAAAAAAATCGCTCTGAATTTATTTCGCAATGATGAATTGTAGACATGTGTTTGATATTCATTTTTAAAAGTTAACCGTTAATTGCATTAGATATATATAGATATAAATAGTATATTATATTTTCTTAGATGATATTTTTCCTCTCCATTCTTTTCATATATATCCTTCGGATGATAAAAGTTTTCTCCCACCACGTCGTATCTGTAAAAGGAAAAATATCATCTAAGAAAATATAGTATACTATTTATATCTATATTACTATGCAATTAACGGTTAACTTTTAAAATGAATTTTAAAAATGAACATCAAATACATTGCAATTCATCACCATTGCGAAATAAAATAAATTCAGAGCAGATCAGAAAAGGTTGGAATCTTTTATTTATAAAGAATGTCTGTAAGATATGATTAGAGTTATTGGAATGGACTAAAGATTAATAAAAAAGAGAAATATTTCTTTTGCTACTGACAAATAGTTCCAAAGTTGCGCTTAATTTTTTATACAGATTATATCACGAAAGATGCACGAAAACAAAAAATTAATTAAATTATTAATTACATAAATTACAATATATATTAATTGTGAAAGGAATTGTATTATATATAATATATGTATTATATATAAAATTGTATTATCTATATGAGAATATTTATTAACATTATTTTTTTATGATTCATGTGATACCGTTCAAAGTATAATCGAGAGTTATACTCAAGCAAGACACAAAAATATTACGTTAAA